CGGCCGAAGGCTTAATAGTCCAATTTTAGTTGGGTTAGTGGCCTCTTTAGGCTTGTAAATAAAGGTTGTGTCATGTGGACACGTACGAGAGCTTCTCGGTCTGTAATGGACCATTTTACCCTTTGTTGTGCCACTGTTTAGAGCTTGTAAAGTCTGTTTGTAATTTGCATTGTCTATGAAGTGTTTTTCGGAGATGTTTGCTTGTGGATCCCGATTGAGGCGTTCTCTCTTGCCCGTTCTCTCTTTTGTTGGTCCTAAGGGACAATGGGAGTCTTCGGGGAGGCTGACCTTTGCGGACGGACACGCAAGGGTGCCGCACGACTTAGGCAAAACCAGCTAAGTCCGTGTCAAAAGGGTATAGGGTTTATGTTCCTCGAGTGGACAATCTGAGACGTGAACTCTTAAGAGAGTGTCACGATTCCCTTTGGGCTGGACACCCAGGCATTCATAGAACCTTGGCTCTCGTGGAGAGGGCCTTCTATTGGTCGAAGATGGGAACTTATGTGGAGGAATATGTTCGAACGTGCCTCACTTGCCAACAAGACAAGGTGGAGCAACGGAAGCCGGTGGGACTTTTGGAGTCGTTGCCCGTATCAGAAAGGCCATGGGAGAACATTTCCTTGAACTTCATATCAAGCTTGCCCGTAGTAGGGAGACTCGGATCGATACTCGTGGTGGTCAATCAATTTTCAAAGTATGCAACTTTCATTGCTGCTCCCCTACACTGTTCAGCAGAGGAGGTGGCCAAGCTGATGATGAAGGATGTGGTGAAGTATTGGGGAGTCTCGCACAATATCATCAGTGATCGAGACGCTCGATTCATAGGACGATTCTGGACCGAGCTATTCAAATTGTTGGGGTCCAAGTTATACTTCTCCACAAGCCTCCACCCCCAGACGGATGGCCAAACCGAAAGGATATACTCGCTCCTAGAACAATATCTTCGGCACTACGTGAGTGCCAACCAACGAGATTGGGTGAAGTTGTTGGATATTGCCTAATTCTCCTACAACTTGCAGTGGAGCTTTGCGTCCAACAAGAGTCCCTTCGAGATCATTACAGGACAACAACCATCAACTCCTCACACCATGGCAATCGGGTATACTGGGAGTAGTCCGTCAGCCTACCACTTCGCAAAGGAGTGGCACCGAAATGCAGATATTGCGCAGGCTTACTCGGAGAAGGCGGTAAAAAGGATGAAGAAGTGGGTAGACTTGGGAAGGCGACCGTAAGAGTTCAAGGTCGGCGATTTGGTGTTAGTAAAGCTCCAACCAGCATCACTCTAATTCTTTAGGAACAAAGTACACAAAGGATTAGTGCGCAAGTATGAAGGGCCCTTCCCAGTTATCAACAGGGTGGGCAACGTCTCCTACAAGTTGCAGCTGCCGGCGTGGCTCAAAATTCACAATGTTCTTCACGCCAGCAACCTAAAAGCCTACCACTCAGATCCGCAAGATGCTTCCCAAAGTGTTCCAACTCGGCTACCCCCCACCAGAGTCTCCTACGAGAAGCGAGTTGAAACTATTTTAGCGGATCGCAAGATAAAGCTACCCAATGGAGCTTAGCAGACCGAGTACTTGGTGAAGTGGCGAAAGCTTCCCTGAACTGAAGCCAATTGGGAGCCCGAAGATGCCCTACGACATGAAGAAACAATTATCAACAACTACCAACAAGCGTCGACGAGGACGTTGACAGTTTGAGTGGGGGAGAATGTCACAAACGGTCATCACGCACCCGCAACAACTTCGTTCAACGAACCGTTCGTTGCTCTCATCTACATGTACAGCTGCTTGGCAGCATGTTTTGACTTGGTTTTAAGTCCTTTTACTTGTAAAAATGTAAGTTCGAACAAGTTGCAGTGCTACAGTGCATCGCTCACCGAACTGAGCAAAACAACCCCAAAACAGCTCCATTTTCGCGTGCCATGGGCTGTTTTCTGCAGCCCGCTACTACATGCGAAACGTCAGCCATCTCAGCACCCTGGAACCATCCGGGTGGCACCATGGGGGATGGGGCTTCGGTATAGTGTCAGGCGTTGAACAACCTTTCGCATGTTCGCGCGTTACCTTGACGGGAACTTGTTGTCGTGCGCGGCACCCGGTGAGCAGCTGTTTGTGGACTTGCAGCTGTTCGTTCAACCCTCTAAAGTCCATGTTTTCCTCCTCTCCCTCTTTTCTCTTGTGCACGCAAGGTGCTCGCTGAATTACTTGTAAAGCTTCCCCTTTTCGCGAGACGTCGAGACTTGTCCGTCGCTCGTTCTTCAAACTAATCAACTTTCTCTTTTACATGTCCTTCGGGACCTGCGAGAGGTTACAAGTGGGTTGATCTTTGCAGACGCAAATCGCAAGGGCGAAGCGCGACTTAGGCAACGCAAGCTAAGTTCGCGTCTTTACCACAAGGGTGCCTTGCGACTTAGGAAACACAAGCTAAGTTCGCGTCTTTGCCGCAAGAGTGCCTCACGACTTAGGCAATTCCAAATAAGTCTGTGACATAATGTCACCCGTTGTTACCCACTGTCTGCCACTCACCATGCACCACCGAGGAGTATGGTTCCTCCTCTTCCTCTTCATCTTCCTCTATTGCTTCCTCCTCTTCTCCCTCTTCCTCCACTACATCTTCTTCCTTTCCTTTCCCCTTCTTCCTCTTCCACCTGCTTCTTCCTCCTCCCCTCCTCTTCTTTCTTCCTCCCTTTCCTCCTTTTCCTTCTTTTCATTGACCAAGCCTCTCTCTTCTCCTTCTTCTTTCTCTTCGATACACTGATTCTTACCAATGTAGCATGTGTTGCTACACCAGTATCAACCGGTATGTACTGGTTTGATCAGGGAATACAGGTCCGGTACTTGAAACAACATTCCTTGGGTGATACAGAGAAGGTAGCAGGTCTGTTAGATATTCTCTTCAACGTTCAACCATTCACAATGAATTGTCTGCCAAGTCACTGTTGAAGGTGAAAGTTCGATTGGATACTCTCTTCAACCTTCAAGAATTCACCGTGTCACCCAAAGATGGCAGTAACACCCAAGAATTTATGTATTTACTTGTACATGTAGACTCTGCACTCTGACATACTTATATTTAAAATATTTAGAACAAGTTTTGAAGTGTGTCACCGCTGCAAACATCTACAGATATGCAATATAAAATAGCATAATTAATGTTACTTTAACATATATATTATTGTTTTTCCTAATGATAGCCTAAAATATACTGCACCAAATCAATATATAGATCTATATTTGATACTTAAATTCTTGGTATCAATGTCCATAAAGAACCAAAAAAGGCCCACTTTTATCACTTTCAAGTTATCATAAAAAACCCATAGAGAACTATAAAAGAATTATCATCAATCTCAATCCTATCCTCCTGTGACCTTTTCTCTGGTCCTCTGTACACTATTCTGCATAACTGAATACTAAGACTCTATTGTGTATCATAATGTCCTAGCTGAAACTTGAAACTTTTGCTACACCTACTTATAGTTTAATAATTAACAGCTTGTAGCCTTAGTTAATGGATAATCATTAAAGAAGAACCCAGCTAGAAAAACTAAATAAGAAAAGTACACTATGCACCCAAGAACGTTTTAGCTTCTGATTAACTTTATAAAATAAGACAAGGCTAACGATGATCCACTTTCAACAATGGAACAAGGTTTATGTAAGCAATATCTATTTTGCTTGGAGAAAAATATATGAGGATCCTTCCAGGTGATGATGTAAATGTTAGAAAGGCTACAAGTGAGAATAAAACTAAAAACGTGCAGCTTCTGTAAAGTAGTATGAACTTGTTGAACCTTACCATATACAGCAAGTACAGGATATAAAATGATATAAAGCATAGGCATGCAAAATGGATCCAAAGCCTGTAACAAAAAATATAAATACTAAGCTCAATGTGAAATTTTGAATTTGAATTATTGTATATGAACTAAGACGAAAGAAAAATGTCCGCATGACAAGATGCATATAACATAATTAACCAATCAATAGGGAAATTGAAGAGTAAGGATGATCAATAAGAAATTCTTGCCTCATGTAAAAGAAGAAAAAATGTTGATATATATAGCAAAAGTCCAAAATATATTACTTTATGTTGATTAGGTTCAGTGACCAATTTCTGTGAGACATTAAGTCCCAAAATCTCATTGAATATTTTATCATACTAGTCAGTAAATAGAAGGTAACCCAAGATTTCAATAAAGAAGAAGACCAAAGAAAATGCCAAAATCTCTCTGTCAGAATATATAAAAAGAAATTGATGATCATGCAAGAACAAAATAACAAGAACTAAAAAAGCTTCCTGGCAAAATGATAAAGGACATATTCCAAAATGAGGGGTTCTGAAATCAGTTTGACACTTTTTCATGCAAACAGAAAATTAGAACTACCAATTCAGTCTTTCTAAAATGTGTCTGACATATGAAGAAATGACTAGAAATGCTAATCCCAATTTCAGGAGAACTGAGAATACCAACTGTTGCTACAAATTGCACACACAAAAACAGCATGAGAAGTTATGAATTTTCTGATCATGAAATTTTAATAGTTGATGGTAGCAGGTGAAGTTCAATGCCATATAATATGACAATCCTTTCATGAAAGAAAGTCAATCAAATGAAGAAGACACTCATGTCAAAGTTTCTCACCAACAGGAAAAATTATGCTGTGGAAAGAAAAGGAAATAGTGACTTGGGCGGCCAACCATTATCTCACAAAATTGCTAATCTGCTAGTGGCACATAAAACCCAAGCACAACCTTGCAATTATTTAGGCAAGCATCATGTTGATGCGTCTTCTATTCAGATGAACCTTTTTTTTTCTGGCATTTAAATTTAACTAGTCTATGCATAAGTACAAAGAAAATAAGCTTTGGTAAATAAGTGTTTACCCATGTCAAAAATCCAACCCCATCCTTCCAGAACAATGTGTCTTGGCACATGCCTGGATGTGATCAGCATGGAATCTTATCATGCCAACTGGACAGGACATGCTTGGACTGCAAAATACTAACCATTAATTCTTACCGTGTTTGGCGATGTTTGAGCCAACACACAATAATGTAACTCATACTAGGGCAGCCCAGTGCTAAATGCTCCAGCTGTTGTGGGATTTGAGGGTTAATTATCCAGTCCTACCCTTCCTAATAAAGTGGTTGTTTCCACAACTTGACCCTAATACTTAATTTTTCATTAGACTGCCTAAAATAATTCTTGCATAACTGAAAACTTCAAATGCATGACAAATCAACATTTACAAACAACAACAAAGTCATTAAATCTCAACTATTTGGGTTTGGCTACAAGCATCTTTTGTCACTATTGAGATCCATAAAAGATCATATGTTTAGTTAAGTTCAGAGTATATAAATCTTTTTTTTTATGATTTCTACTAGTCCTTCTACGTCTTCCTCTACCTCTCATCATAGCACTAACATTAATCATTTTAACTCTTCTAAGTACTGCCTTTATAGATCTTTTAAGCACATGTCCATACCATCTTAAATGATTATCTATCATTTTATTCTCTATCGAGGCGATACCTAGTGATTCACAAATAATTTTTTTTTTTAATCTTTTCTAGTAACTCTATACATCCATCTCAACATTCTCTTTCAGTAATATAAACTTTTTATATATGTTGTTTCGTAACGCCCAATACACAGGTCAACGTTTGCTAGACAAAATATAAAAAATAAAAAGGTAAGATTGAACAAGGTAATTAACCTAAGACTCGATATGTGCAAACATGATGATAATCAAGTGTTTTTATCAGGTATATTATCTCTTTACTCAAATTAATGTACTAAACAGTTACCATAGCAGTCAATGAAGACAGTTACAATTGTGCCATGTCACAATACAAATACAACAGCCACAAAAACCATTACTAGAAGTTAAGAACTACATTTAATCTAGAAGATGCATTTATAGGTATTCATCATGGCATTAAAATCAACCTATTCCCCTCAATATCTTCCATAGCTATCTGCATTGCAAATTTGATTTTAGCATCTTCAATTATTTAGTGATTAAGACAATCCTTGGGTGGGGCTATGTGCTGAGAAATTCTCAGATTTCTTCGTCCCAAAGAGTATGAACCAATGTTTTAGAATCCAGTTAGGCTGATATACACCAAGTTACCAGTTCGACCAAATACTAAAATTGAAATGCTAAAGCTCGATACATGATATATTAAGCTCGAATTTTTTTTCTTAATTCAATGATACCAAGCAGTACAGATCAGTATAGTACCCATCAGGGTTCTCAATTTCAATGTGTACCACCCAGTACGGGTAGTATGTATCAGTCCGAGAGGATATTGGTACGTGGACGGCCCTCTACAGGGTGGTACCAATGTTTTGACCTCGTATCATGAAATACGACGTCTGTACCGGGCGATAACAGTTGAAATCCGACCATTATTGAGACGTACCGATCAGTACACTCCGGATTTCAACCGTTATCGAGGTGTACCAGTCGGTACGACCTAGATTTCGATTGTTACTGAGGTGTACCGGTTGGCACGCCCCGGTATTCTTGAACCGCTACCTACAAATATTTTTGGAAGTTTTTTTTTTTTTGGGCATATCGTTGGTACACCTGGCGTACCATTGGTATACCTCGATATGTACTGTATCGAGCAAGGCTCGGTACATTGGTACGAAACGAAATTGAGAACTTTGGCATCCACTACCCGGTATACCGATACCATACCTATCCAACAGATTATTAAAACTCTTATTGAACCGATATAAAAAACTTTGTACAAAAGTAGCAACGACTATACTTCTTATTCCATTTAGTAATATCTTCCATATACTGGCCACTTTAAGTCCTCATACAAAGCAAAACAGCTCTATGGACTTTAACAATGTATCCCACTTCATCTTAGAGGACGGACAACAGAAGGAAAAAAAGATGTAAGTTTTGATTCACTACTATCTTGGTAGAAAATGTGTGCAGAGTTCTCTGCCTGCTAGCCATAAAATTAATGTATGTTTCACTATTATTCTCCATGTTGTACGATCTTATAACACCAGGCACTGCAGTCGTTTGCAAATGAGAACTAAAGTTTACAAACCGATAATATGTACATATTGTAGTAGGATATACCAGATAGGCAGATACTGTAAAACAGCATACCATATATGTATGTACTAAAACACAATGAACCAATTAAATAACAGAAATAGCATTACCTGTTACAGCCTTTCCCAATATTAGAAATTGTAAAAGCATCCATTGAATATGAAAATTCACTTCGAGAATGGCCATCTTGACAAGTAAAGTTCACAGGTACAAGTATCAGCAACCCAATTATTGAGCAAACTGTGAAAAGTTTAGTTCTACAAAGTAAGAAAGATGATGTATTAGTGCAATGAATCATATAGATTAAAAAGCAATTCCACTATTTTAACAACATTGAATCCAAAAACATTTGGGAGTATAAAGGCATAAGATCATCCGAGACATAATTGCAAGAAGCCAAGAATATATACAGAAGCATGACATAGTCTAAGAAGATCCGAAACCTTCCACAACCCATTTTTAACTTTCAAAAACCACAATTTCACTATGGATTGTGAGAAAATGTTCCCTAAGTGCATTAAACCCCATATACAAGTAATCCATGTTACGAGACGCAAATCAATGATCTTGTCTGCTGCACTTTTCAGCTTCCAACAGGACATGCTATCTAGTGTCGAGTATGCATAACATTTGTTAACATTGGGTGGAAAGGTCATTTAAGAAATAGTTCAACTATATTGCACACCATACCTACTCTGCAACCAAGATATCCCCATCATGACCCTTCTCTCTTCACATGAAAGAACGATGTGTTTGCCTACAGGTGTACCAAAACATCAGGCTCACCAACTGACCAACAGCCATTCGTTAATAATAATGTGACTGCTGCAGGCTCCTCAAGCTCCCAATCCTTCGAACCAACTGATATACTCTAGAGATATTTGAGTCTCTCCTAGAGTCAGAAGTCTTTTATTGAGACTAGATGGAGCAAATTACCCCCCTTTTCTTGGCTTTCTAGATTGTGTTAAAAAATGCAATGCTCCCCTCTGCTCTGTCCGTCACTAATCTGATGACAGAGTACAGCATATAGTCTTCAAATATCCTTTTACCACAAAATGTCTGCCACTTCCGATAACTGAATTGAATTATACTTTTAGTCATTATTCTGATTGGGCCCAAGGGGCTTGAATTACTAAAGAAACTATCGTTCACAAACAGTATGTCAGCAAGATTAGGGCCTTTGTTGCCACCTCTCTATGGTTGTTTGAATTGTAACAACTCCATATTTCACAATAGTGGAATCCAAATTTCAACATTAATTTGCAGTACCATTGATGTAAGCAACGAGCAAAACCAGCTACCCTTCATGTCTAAGGAGACACTGACAAAACCATTTCTGTTCATGACTACCTAGCTCTCACGAGTGTATATTTCATGATTGCTCTTTTGGTACAACTAACAACAATACTAGTACAAGTTATATTGTCTATGATTCCAACAACTACTGATGCAGCCTGTTGCTGCTAAAACAGGTATAACGCCCTGACAACTGAGATATGGGCTCCAGAGGACACTACAGGCAAGTTACAAGAACTCAGGAGCAAACGATAGGCGTCCTCAGCTGTGAAATGGACCCTCATTAGCTTCCGCATAACCTATCTTGGGCATGGCACATTCACTAAAGAAAGATAAACAGCAATGAGCTTAGTACTGGTTACCCGAATTTGAAGAAGCGGAGGACGACGAGGGCGTCAAGGCCTTGGATGCGCAGGACCTCGTCCTCGGTGACGCGGAAGGCGCGGCTGATCCATGAGGCGGTGGGGCGGAGGCGGGCGAGGGAGAAGGCAGGATAGAGGGGAAGGGCCTCCCGGCGGGCTATTCGACGGGCGAAGTAGACGTTGGCGCTGCAGGGCTGTTTCTTGATGACGGAGAAGAGGGAGAGCACCACCAGCGCCAGCCCTATGTTCATCCCCGCCGACGCCAACAAGCTCGCCGCGTTCATCTCTTCCGATCAATCAATTTGCTAACCTTTCGTCTTCCCCTTCTATTTCGTGGAACCAAAAAGAGCGATGTGTACGAATCAGTTTGTGTTTGTCAGTTAAATCGAGCAATAGGTTGTTCGAGTCTACACCTGACTAACACGTGGCAGTCAATGGGATGTCGAATTGGTCGACGACTCCTAAGAAACCGCCACGTCGTATACTATGCTGTCGCGAAGGAAACGCTTCGCCTATTTAACCCTGAAACATCGGTCGCTTTTGCATGCGGCTTCCGCAACTTGTTATATTATTATAAAGATTTTAATAAAATGAATAGATTTTTAGCGCAACTTGTTATATTGTTATATAATAAAGATTTTATTATATATATATATATGTATATATATATAAGGGGGAGCAACAGCAGAGAATCATCCCAGTATTTCTTGACGACTGACAAGCCACAATTCTTTATCAATATCTGATGCATAATAAACATAATGATTACAAAAGGACTCCTCTCTTGAGCAGACCTGAAAGCTAAAAATCATCTACAAAAGTACAGCTTTTGATCTACAAGAGAAATAAATCAAGAATAACCAAGAAAGGCACTTAGCTCGAACATTACATGTAATCGATTCTGAATCAATGAATCATAAGCCAAACACAACTTAGATCGCCCACGGATCATCCGGTGGGCAAGTCTGGCCGCGATGCATCACATTTAATTGTGTCGATGCAACTATATATATACATACATGCCGAGATGCAAAGCAAGCAAAGGCCAAACATGTTACAGGGGAGGAAGTTTTGGACGTAAATATGATCAAGTGTCTTCTGAAAATACTTTGTAAATGAAGTCGCGGAAGCGTTTGGAGTACTGCTTCGGATCAACAGCTGATATCGAGGTTGGATCATACTGAATGGACTTGTAAGCATGTTCGAGCTTTTTGCTGATATCGTAATCCTGCAGAATATCTATGATGCCAAAATACAGAATCACATCATAGAACTCGCCCGTTGGTTCCATAACTAGCAAGGATTCACCCTCACTCCTCACTATTTGTTCAACCCTTGCTGGCATATTTACGCCTAGTTTTGTTGAAGGCAATCTGCATTTTCACGAGGATGAAAAGAATCCTGAAACCTTATTATGTACACAAAATGATCGACAAGTCCTCGCATCATACCGTATCAAATCCCAAAGAAACTCGTCCATGTCTACTCTTGACAGGCGGAGGGTTGCATCGTTCGTGTCGTCGACTTCAGAGGAAGCTGTCAGGAAAAAGAAGAGAAAGAAAGATGACATCGTTAGCATCAACTCATCAGTCACAGAGAAAGCTTTTGAGCACCAATTTGAGTTTGAGAATGACCATCAGTTGTCTCCTGCGAGGTCGATGCTTCTCTGAAATGGACTCCCACCAAAAGACTGTAATCCATTATCCTCTCCTGCTCCAGGAACTCGCAGTCTTTATCGACTTGCCTGCAGGAGGAGAGCGTAAGCTGGCTCAAAGAAATGGAAGACCAGGTGAATGGGAGGAATCAGCACACCAGACATGAACACCTGTGGAATTCCTGAAACCAGGAGTTCTGCAGCCGGAAAATTAAGTTGAGATCGAGGTCCTTCAGGGTGGTGGTCTCGTCAATCTCCGCCTCGGGCTTGTCCGTCATGCGTCCATGGGAGGACCCTTTGAGATCGAAGCGCCTATGTATAGGGTGCTCCGAGCAAAACAGGTTGCCCATTATGACGAACCGGACCTAATACATTTGGTTTGACGAGGCATTAGAGGTTTGGCTTCACTGAGCTGACATCGAACTTGAAACCAACCTTTCTCTGGGCAGCCCCAGTTAGCTTTACGCAGTGCAGACCGAAGAACTTGGTGACCAGAGTGTTCTCAAAAGCTCGGAAATGGTTGTAGTAGGCTGGAAGCATCCGGAGAAGCACCTGCAACAAGCGTAGATAAGACAGACCTACATTGCTGACACTCAGAATAGCAGAGCACGCACTCACTTTCACTTCCGATTTCTTCATCGTTTTTATCATGTATCGATCATCATTTGTGAGGTAAAAGAAGCTTCCACTCTTCCCCGGGGACGAGAGCTCGCGGAGGGCGTCGTTTCCGCAGATCGACATCATGTAGTCGGCTGGGTCAACCATGAATAGCTGGCGAAGCGTTCTGAACATCCATGTTCAAGAGGGGAAAGATGAGCTTGCTCACACGTGAGCCGAAAGAGAAAGAGAGAAGCCATGGCAAGAGACCTGAAGACCAATGGGCAGTAGTCCTTCCACTTGAACTCACAAGATTGGTGTGGGGGTGTTTGTTTCGTTCCTTCGGGAGGAAACCTCGTCCATATCTTCTCCTTTGGATCGAAGACTGACGTTTTCAGATCAAGTGTTTTGGGTTCAGGTAGCCTCCCTACTGCATGCCTGCCAACGACAGAGTCGTCATGATATGAAGACATCAAAGACGACAAGATTATGAGCTAAACAAATAGCAATAAAGCATTTCAGATCAAAGTACCTGATACCAAGCTGGAGATTGAGCATGAGTTCATAGTTCTTGTGCCCCTTTGAGATCGCCTCCCCCTGCTTCTTCATCTCCCTGGGCGTCCACTTTATCGGCTGCTGGATTCTCCCCACCCCCTTCGACTCCGCGTCGTCGAATCGAAGGCCACCAAGAATGTCATCCACCGACACCTCCGCTTCTCCCTCGATTCCGCCGTCGTTCTCGACGCCACAATCGGTAAGCTCGTCTGTGTCCCATACCCCGTTGTTGTTCCACGTACCGATGACAGTGTTTGCATGGCGATTTGAACATCTCGGCACACCCCCTGTCGAGACGACCTCCACCGAGGCTCTTCTCCTAGGCCGCGAATCTGTCGACTTGGAGAACCTCAAGGCTGCCTGCTTCTGCAGCAAGTCGGATCTGCCCGACCGGTTGACTGCCTTCTGCGGAGGAAGCGCGGATGCATTGTCGCCCGTGGAGACCTTGCAATCTCCGAGATCGACAGAGAAAACTCCATGGGGATCCCGGGCAGTGGGGGAAGATGCGGTCGGCGAAGGGTAGTAGACGCCCTTCTGCTGAAGGCTGCCGTTCTCCTTGCTCCAATGCCCGACGTAAACGCCTCCGTCGGCCCAACGGAAGCTCCCGTCACCCTTCGGGAGTCCATTCTCCCACCCTCCCTCGTACCGGTTGCCGTTCGCCCAGACGAGGGTTCCGTGGCCGTCAATGGCGCCCGCCCGCCACTGCCCGTCGTATTCGTTCCCGTTCTTCCAGACGTACCTTCCATGGCCATCTTGAACGCCGGAGCGCCACTCGCCGTCGTAGTAATCGCCGTTGGCGTAGGACTTCACCCCGTGGCCATGCTTAAGGTTCACGGACCAGGTGCCGCGGTAGGTGTCGCCCAAGGAGCCCGTGTACGTGCCGTAGCCTTCCATGAACCCCGACTTGAACTCCCCCTCGTAGGTGCCGCCGGAGGGCCACGAGAACGTGCCCTTCCCCATGGTCTTTCCGTGGTCCCACTCGCCCATGTACATGCAACCGTCGGTCCAGAGGTACTTGCCGGTGCCGTGGGGCAGGTTGCCGCACCATTGCCCAGAGTAGAAGTCTCCGTTAGCGAGGACGCGCTCGGCGTGGTAGATCTCCTCCTCGCTGTCCGCGGGCAAGAGGTCCGTCGGGGCGGTGGCAGCGGACGGGAGGTCGCCGCATGACTCGGGGGTAGCGAGTGCGCCATCAGGGACGTCAGTGGGGAGAACCGACATAGGGTGGGAAGACAAGGTTGTGATGGCTGGTGGCTTGCCGCTGCTACTAGGGCTTGTGGTTGGTGGACTCCCGATCCTCGGGAAGTTGGTCGTCCTGAAACATTCTCCAACTTCGCCTCTTCTTGTTCTTCTTCTTCTTCTCCTCCTCCTCTTCCTCCTCCGTCAATATGCTTTCCGCTAATCTGCCATCATTTTCCAGATTTGTTTGCTTAATCCTAATCTTTTCTTTTTCCACTTGAAGAAAAGATTATTACACAGAGTCGTAGAGGAGGAAATGCATGGGTTTGTGTCGCTTGAAGAGTAGGAGGTCTGGCTGGGGCTCCGGGTAGAGCTCTCAGACCAAACACATGGAAGGAGGGAAGAGGAGGAAGTCATATCCATCGTTCCTTAGTTTAAGGTGCTTTCGACGATGGTCAGAGGGAAGGAGGGAGGGGAATTATTTGGGGAGAGGAGAGCGGATCCGAAGAAAGAGGTCGATGCATCGTAGCTCTTTGTTATCAAGTATTGGCAACAGAACGTGAGGTTTCAGTGGGAGTGCAGATACACCATAATGGAATATACATAATTGTAAATAAACTAATAATTAATAAAAATATAACGGAATTATGGATGAGAGTACTATCAATTTAAGCTAATTTTGACGAAATATATGTGTTATGCAACGCATAACAATGACAAGGACAACTTCATAAACGGGGAAAGAGAGGATTAAACATCAGAATATGGGTGTTACAATGGGTATAACATCATCAAATAAAACCTTTTATCGAAAACATAAACAAAAGAAGAAAAAAATACCAAAAATATCTTTTTTTTTTAACTACCAAAATTTCAAGAAAAATTTTACTTTTTATTTTTTGTACCTTTATCTAACTTCTTTGTATCTACTCTCATATCAACTGGTTTAGCTTTAAGAATCAAAATTAGGTGATCTTTATTCAATATGTGTCTTTTAATATACGGTAATTTATAAATAAAAGTTTTTTATTTTAAGAAATTCTCATTTAACATCTATTTTTTCAAAAATCTTGGTAGAGCTTTTTTTTCCTGAAAGATAATTTTGCTCCTTGCCTTTGCTCCGGAAGCCACAACCTCCACCTTTGGACGCCAGTACCTTTATCTCTGTCTGTCTCTGGTCATATCTATCTTGACTCCTACCATTGGTCACCTATGCTTTTATATTGGACTCTTAGTCGCCTTCATATGTTGGGCCCCATTCTCGTTTGCCATTAGTGATTTTTACCTCTGTACTCAATCGCGATCATCTTTGTCCCATTGTCTCCATACCCTACTAATCATCGACTCCATCCCACACCACTATTCTCACTTGCACGTTTTATCATTGTCGTTCTTGCTCGTGACCTTCTTTATCAAGATCGACGATGTGGATGATGAAGACAACAAGGGGGTTGAGTGCTCTCAACCGTAGCCCTCACTTATTCTATGGATAAAATTATTTTTGAGAGAAAAGAGATACTTTGTAAAGTTTTTTTTGAAAAGAGGACACTAACTTGACAATTTCTCAAAATAAGATTTTTAAAATTATCCTTTAATATATATCATACTAAAATTAAAATTATCTTGGTTGTCATTAAATGCTTATTCTGCATGAAAATTTGGAATGGCATTCAGTAACATTTATTAATTTTAGTAGGGTATCTATAATTCTTTTATGCGAATCCATAGAAGTTTATTATTTTTGTATTGATTCGAAGTTTAAATTTTATGAATAATAGTTGTAATACATACGAGTGGAGGTTTAAATACAAAATATTCCAAATTAATAATATACCTTCTCATTTTTTAAAGAAAAATTGAATCGTGCCAACTATATCAGGTGCAACGCACGTGACTCTGATCACCTACTACTCCAAAACGTTAGGAGACGGCGGGGGCGGCCGTCCTGATTGCCACGTGTTCCCCTTGTGTCCCATTCACCGTTCTTGAAGCGTTACGCACCCTCCATCTGCCGGTGCAAGAATGTGGCGACAAACGGGGGCCACCGTGGGGCCTGCCTCTTTGCAGGCACGTGGATTTGATGGTGAGTCTTCTTGCGGAGAGCTAAAAATATCTGCCGTTTATCATCTACAAAGATATAAGAGTACCATGTCCAAAGTCCACATGGCGCTTCCTCGACATCACCGCCGCTGCACTCTTCTGTGATGTTCGCCGCCACCGCCGCATGTCCTCTTCTCCGCTTCCGCTCCCTCCCGCTCGGTTGCTACATCTCGCCGTCTCGCTCGTACCGCCAGCGCCGCCCCATCGACTGCATCAGAGTCCTTGCCATGGCCGGGTCCTCGACCTCCGCCGCGCCCCATCGCCACACCAACCGCCTCGCATCCGAGCACAGCCCTTACCTCCTCCAGCACGCCCACAACCCGGTACCCTCTACCCACAGGACCTTTTTCGCTCGTAATTATACTCTGTTCCTCTTCCTTCACTCTTTCTGTCTTCCAATTTGATTACGTTTGATCATTCCGCCTATACCCCGTCGGTGAATGAAACAATTTGACGGCTTCTTGAGTTGTTTGCTCGAGGTGGTTGTCGAATTTGATGTTTTTGTGGTCGAAATCGGTACTTCTCTATCTGATTTCCTCGTGGACATAATTAAAACGCCGGAGCCTAATTGTCTCGCTGTCCTCAAATGATATTTCCTTTTAAATCAAACATTGTTCTCATATGATATGTTTGGTTTCTTGGAGATCCGAGCATTCCGGTGATTACTTGTGATTGCATTTGATTCGCTTTGACGTCATAGATTATGTCTATTCGTTCTGCATGGATAATGCTCGTGCATATATTGTCGACTTCAAGGATGAAACCAAGTAAAACAACTGTTGGAAATTATTTTGGTGAATTATCTTTTGACAGCTGATTCTCTTTTCGTTTCTGCAATTGAAGGTTGATTGGTATCCATGGGGGGAGGAAGCCTTTGAGAATGCTCGTAAAAGAAACGTTCCCATCTTTCTATCAAGTGTGTGCACTTAACTTTAAATCTTCTGAGAAATTTTGCATCTTTAGGATTTCTGTTTGGTCAAAAATCAGTATATCTTCTTATCTTGCTTAACATATTTGTCCTGTTGCGTTTATCTTCTCATCTACTTGCGTTGACCTGGACATTTCGGTTGAAGTTGGATACAGCACGTGCCACTGGTATGCTTTTTCATCCTGCTGTCAGTCCTCCCCGTTTTCTTGTATATGCAGTCTTCGTGTCTTCAGCGCGCCTTGCACACTGCATGATGTGTTATGTTGGAATCATCTGCAGGGCTGTTTTAATTTCTTACAAGTATTATGTCAAACACCCATAAGGGAACTTAAATAGATGTTCCTTAAAAACACAATATGGAGAACTATAACTAACACAGGGAGAGAGAGAAAGCATGCCATTTTGTCGTGGTCTAGTCATAATTATTGGTAGATCCTTGACTTCCAATCTTCTATTATCGTGTTCATTTAAAACATTTCTGAATCCCCTTGGTACCTCCTCTCCAAGCTAGAAAGATAAGATCTTTACAAGAGGTGTCTTTGTTTTATGCAAGAGCTAATATGAATCTCTTAAGCCTCAGAGCAAATGCATACAACAACAAAAAGTCATATTATCTCAACTATTTCGGGTGGGCTATATTGAATCTTTTCTTATTGTGTTGTGTACAATACAATATCTCTAGTTAATTAAGAGCAATCAATTCTCTTTTTATTGTTTATAATAAAGTCTTCTTAAATCTCCCTCCCTCTCTTGAAATACTAAATATAATCAACTCATCTTTTCTAACAAAATTTTTAGGCCTCATTTGAATATACTCATACAATATTAATTGTTTCTTTATAATTTAATACTCAATAGAGATTACACCTAGTTGAAATTATCTTTTTTAATTATCTTAGAACACCTTATATCTATCTTAGTATTCTCATTTCAGCTATATGTTCTGCATGTTATTTTTGTTAGTTGTCCAACAACTGAATTTTTCTTGGTCAAACTAGAGTCTTATATAATTCTCATTTTTATCTAAGGAGCTCTTGCAATTATGGATCTGTGAAACCAATAATGCTTTATGGATATGACTGTTGAGCAGTTAAAAAAAACATATACAAAAATTTATGTTGTCAAGATGAGAATGTTGAAATGGATATGTAAAGTTATTAGGAAAGATTGAAAAAAAAATACTTTTATTCATGAATAAATAGGTATTGTTTTGATAGAGGATAAGATAAGAGAAAATTATTTAAGATGGTATGAGCATGTGCTGAGATAATCTCCGAATGTAGTAGTCAGAGAAGGTAAAATAATTAATGTTAGTGGTATGATGAGAGATAAATGAAGATCTAAAAAAACTTAAATAGAAACTATAAACAAAGGTTCAAGTATTTTGAACTTAACTAAACATATGGCTTTTTACAGATCTCACTGGTGCAAAAGATTTATGTAACTGACCCCAAATAGTTGGGACTTATGCCTTGTTATTTAGAATTTGTTTAGAATATCTAAGGGGCACTTGATAATCATACAAAACCGAAGATATCCCTTTCCATTTCTACATACCCACTTTTACTCTATGGATAATATATTTATCAATCTTCTATTCTGTTGAATAATTGAACAAGGGTACCTACAACTTTTGTATACCAGAACTTGTTGTCCATCTACAACTGCAATTCTCTTTATTTTATTGAAAGTAAGTTTCATATGCTCTTTTAGTCCTGCATAATCTAAAGCTCAAGTTTCTGAGGTTTATTCATAATGCAAGTTAAAATTGTTTCTATATAGACCTTCATCAAAAAAATTAATCTCATCAGCATATAATACATATTATACATGACTAGTCAGCTCATCTATTATAAATGTAAAAAGCTAAAGACTTGAAGTTGATTGTTGCGGCAACCTTATAACATAAAACTCATTACACTCCCTCACAAATCTAATTCTAGTGCTAAACTATAATTCATATCTTTCATGACATCAATAGTTTTCATTATATTAATTCATTTGTAATTAGAGCAGCCTTGATTATCTCCTTCTATTCTTGTAAATCGGTACCAAAAAGCTTTCTCACAAGTCACCAAATATCTTCTCATTCTTAAAATTTTGCTAAATGAATTAGTTGGCTACCTTTAGGAGACTTTAAAACCTCAATAGGGCTGCCATTAATATCTACATATTTTCATCCTTTTGAAATTGCTTCTGTCTCATTTTCTGTAATTTTATGAATAAAACTGTGATTTTTAGACTCACTATTTTCGAACTTTAAAGCTAAATTATCTGTAGGAAATTCATTAAATAATATATAGAAATGGTTTTTCAATCTTTCCTTGATCTACATATCATTAACCAGCATCTTTGACCTTCATACTTTATACACCCAAAGTCACTTAAATCCTTGAGAGTTTTTTTCTTTATCTCTGGCAATCTAGACTCTAGAGGATCTCTTTTTTCGATCTTTAGAGTTTAGTACTTATCTTACCATGAAAACTGCATAGTTCTAGAATTTTGTCTTTTGTGCCTTTTTTTAGCTGCAATGTTATATTCTTATAATTTTGCCAACTTTTTAAGACATAATCTTTTTGTAGTAATTGCTTTTTAAATTTACATCCTTGCCCTTAGATTCTCCAAGAAACTCCTTTGACATCAGGTCCACATACTATTAATATCGCCCTTTTCTAGGTTTAAACCTCATCTCTATCCTCCTTGCTTTCAAAAAGCCTTACATGACTGGTTGCAATTTGCTAGATGCAAAATTTATTTTCGTCTGCTCCAGATGGAATGTAAAACATTGTTGATGTGTTCTCTTGGTTTTTGTTAATATTCACTGATCAAAATTCCAGGTGCCATGTCATGGAAGTTGAGTCATTCGAGAGCAAAGAAATTGCCAAAATGCTAAATGAGTGGTTTGTCAGCATCAAGGTGCATATCATTTCATACAATAATTATCTAATGCTCTTTTTTTGTGAAAATTGTAAGTTAGCATATCCAAAATAATTATAATAAAATGAATTTTAAAAATAAAAGGAGAAGAAGTATACTGTATGTTGTGTTCATACATTAGTGCAACCTACTTTATTTTATGACAATTGTCTCATATGTTCAATCTACTTCTTTTGTGCTTTCGGCCACCGTTGTGCTTCAGTTCAGGAACTTCCAAATGTGAATGCTTGCATATCTTGTAAAATACTGGTTCTAATTATTGGTTTTAATAGGTTGACCGTGAGGAGCGACCTGATGTTGATAAGGTAAAAAATTAATGGGTAATAGTTTTCAGTTACCATTATCAGTCAAATCCCTTTTTCACTTTTGAGAATGTTGTGAAGAGATCATTTCATGTGGTTGATGTGTTTACCTTAAGTTATATAATTGTTTTTTCTAGGATCAGTTTAGGTGCTTAAAGCCTTCTCATGTGGATATGCAAATAATTATATTCTCTGAGTTCTCTAATTATGATCATATGCCTTTACAGGTATATATGACCTATGTTTCTGCATTATATGGTGGTGGTGGTTGGCCTTTGAGTGTTTTCCTCTCTCCTAATCTTAAGCCTCTCATGGGTGGGACATATTTCCCCCCTGATGATAATTATGGACGACCAGGATTCAAAACAGTCCTTAGGTACCTGGTCTTGTCTATTGCAGTTAGGATTAAATGACACTAAATTCATGACCTGTTTAACTCGAGTTTTTGTTGTTACTTGTGCCTAGAAAGGTGAAGGAAGCTTGGGAAACTAAATGTGAGATGCTTGAAAGGGGTGGGACTCTTGCAATTGAGCAACTTTCAGAGGCACTTTCTGCAGCTGCTAAATCCACTAAGTTATCAGATGAACTAGCTCAAGCTTCATTAAAAACTTGTTCTCAACAGGTATATTATGGTAAAAATTCAGTTTCTAACTCATGCTTATAATTTTCCAAATGGACTGCATTTTGTGGCATTGTTAATAAATGTATATCTAATGGTCATGAGGTTTAATCCCTTAATCACATCATTCATCCACTATTCATGCTTATGACATGTGACAAGTTGTTGAGCAAGTATGCTTATATTGTCTCACTATTCTTTTTCAGGACATTATATATTAAGCACCTGAATTGACATATATAGTTAGTTCTATGTGAAAATTTTCCTGTATTAAGTGTGTATTTGTGGTTAGAAAATCTGTTTAGTAAATTATAGACTGATATTTAACAAGATTGTCAAAATAGTTTTTTTTTCCTTTCTGATGATTTTGAGACTGAATCTTTAATCTTGTTATGAGTAAGACATTTTTTCCTTTGGGTATTGAACCTAATTATCTCTGTCCCATATTTCAAGTCGCCATTTTTCCAATACTTTCTCCAAGGATCTAATTGGGAATAGATGAATCAGATTGCTGAGTTTTCATACTAACTTGTATGCTATTTATATTACCGTTCAGATCATTCTGGATCGAGCTTATTCTTTTTAAGGTAAACTTGAGTTTGCTGAACCACCTTTTTCATCTTGAGTAGTTCAGCAGTTGTATAAGATATTGATGTAGATGCCCTGAAATGGTTTAGACAAATTGATTGTCTTTGCGTAAGAGTTGGAGTCAGGTCTGGTTACTTTTAGGTTTGCGAAGTAATATAATAAAGCTTGCTTGTCATATAGTGTTGTCTTGAGGGTTTCACTTTCTCGATGTCTTGTTTTATCAAGTGCAACTTCCTCTACATGACCACTTTTATTATTGCTTTTACCACTGTTTTGTTGGCTGCCACCGGTGCTGTCACTGTGATCACCACCATTGCTTCTGACTCCGGTATTCATTGTCTCCACCGGCACCATTATGACCATAATGTTCATCATCACAATTGGTTACCACTTGGTCATCAGCATGGTCACAACTACTACCGCAACTACCACCAACCTTCACCTTCACCGTCTTTCTACTACTACCTTATCACTAGTGGTGCTACTGCTACCAGTACAACCATCGTCATCTATTATTACTGCCACCACCATTGCAGCAACTGCTAGTGCAGCTTGGTCACTACGATCATTACCACCACTACCATGAGCGTCATTTTTATCCTCCATCACCATTATCATTGTGGCCACTACTGTCATTGCCACCGCCAACGACAATGCCATTGCTGCCACCATCATTATTAGCATTGGTCTTTGTAATGTCTCACGGACATTACTGGCCATTGTTACCACCACAATAACTGCCAAGACCATCACCATTAGCTGTCAATACCACTCCATAATAGCAGCCAACCCTGTCATTGCCACTGATACCTCCATCACCATGCCTGTTGCCGCCAACTCCACCGTCATTATTGGCACAGTTAATACCAGTGCTTGTCAAGAGGATTCTCTAACAAACATTTGTTTGGTTGAAAACTCACATGGAACACAATACTTATTAACCAGCCATCTTCACTAGTATGCAAATGTCTCTGTGATTCAGTGTCAAAAGGAAGCTTTTCCAAAAGCTAACTCATGTAGTAGTACTGCCAACACTTTTCTTTTAACAGTATAAGTTTTTTTCTTTAATTTATTATTGTTAGTGACTAAGTTTTGTCATTGCAAGCTCAGTAGTTATGTGATAGTTAAAAGTTATTATCACACTCAGCTGGTGGGTTAAAATCTTGTTTTTCTAAAAATGAAAAAGAGGAAGTTTCTATGTGGTGGAAGAATCCAACATTCAGAGTCTTGGAGAGGCATGCTAGATGCTTGTACCTTTGGAACAAATTGACATATTTCCCAAGCATAAACTCACTTTTTATCTTGACTTCTGAAAATTTGACTTAGCTATAGTTAAGTCTTTTTTTTTATAGTAATTTTATTTCTAAATTAACATAAAAACTTCTTTGGCCACTATTTGTCGGGTAGAGATTAGGTTTATTAGCCACTATTAAGGTCTCAGTCTGTGTCTCAGCTTCAACAACACTATAAGCAAAACATGAGAGCGAGGTTAATAGACTGTCTAAACACAATAAGGATCCTATTGTACATTATCTGCAGATTGACGGAGGAGATTTGTTTGAAGCATCTTATTTATGAACACCTGTTTTGTCATGTTGCACTGATTAATTTGTCATTTTCATTTCTTTGTTCTATTCTTCTCCAAGATACCGTCCTATTCATTCTGACACCAGATTATGCCATTTGAATGCTTTTACTAGCTTGCAAGTAGCTACGATCCAAAATTTGGCGGATTTGGTTCTGCTCCAAAGTTCCCTAGGCCTGTGGAAGTCTGCCTTTTGTTATATGAGTCAAAGAAGTTGATGGAGAACGGTAGGCAAAGTGAAGCTAATAAAAACATGCAGATGATATGTAATACCTTGCAGTGCATGGCCAGAGGTGGTATTCATGATCACGTTGGAGGTGGATTTCATAGGTACAGTGTGGATGAGTGTTGGCATGGTGAGTACTTAATGATTGTGGTTTGTGGTTTGTTATATATTAGTCTCTTGGTTCCATTGAGTTATAAAATGATTCCAATTTTTACCATGTGTATGATACAAAGAATTAAATGACTGATCGTCATTAAACCTGCGACCTTTATCATATCAATGGCAACATTTTCAATATTGGTTGTGATAGTAAGCAAGTTACGTGTCATCATGTGTTGAAAAGTATCAATGATACTAATATGCTGGATTTAAGTGGTATCATAAAATATGCTGGATTTAAGTGGTAACCTAAAATATTTTGCATCATTTTCAAGATTTTGAACAATTTATTAGTTAAAATAATTTTTTTGTTATATATATATATGTGTGTGTGTGTGTGTGTGTGTGTATATATATATATGTATATGTGTGTATATATATATGTATATGTGTATATACATATATATGTATGTATGTCCCATCTCTAATGAATAGCATAGAGCTAGCCCCCATAATTTTTAGGGCATGCCTTTTGGCCTCCCCTGCAATGTGGTCATGGGGTATACTTAACCCAATTATAATCTTTTATTTTGTCAATCCTCCATAACAAGCATAACAAGGGGCTCACATATTGGTGGTGAACATAGTTTTGAGCAAGATTTCTTCAGTCCAAGTCCTATATCAATACCAAACTGGTACAAGATCGATACTTTTCAATGTATCGATCACATGATATGCTGGCACACTGATTGGTATGGACCAAATTGAAAGAGAGAGAGAAGAGGAAGAGGAAGAGGAGGTGGTTGAGGAACGGAGGAGAAGATGGTGGCAGAAGAGGACAAGCCAAGGAATAAGAGGAGGTGGAGTACCAGAGATTGAGCAAGAACTGGCAATAGTAGAGGCGACGCAGCAAGGCAGTGGTGACAGTGGGTGGCTGTGCTGAGAGAGATGCCTAAAATAGAGAATTTGAGGTGAAAAAGGATGAGAGAGAGAGAGAGAGAGAAGAGCATGCAAGAAGTAAAAATAGGAAAAAATAAATTAAAAAAAGACAAGTGTTAGAATTATAAAAAATAATAATAAAGGTACCTGGTGGTGGGCTTACCTCCCACTGCTGCTGGTTTCATCCATTAGAAAGGTAGCATTTAATGCATATCTCTACCTAGAATTTCTTTATATATATATATATATATATATATATATATATATATATTCACTCATAAAGATAGTTTATATATTTGTATCTTGTTACTGAATTGTCATGGCTTCCTTGTTATGCAGTTCCACATTTCGAGAAGATGTTGTATGACCAGGGTCAGGTCGCTAATGTCTATTTAGATACATTTTCAATCACAAGAGATACCTTCTATGCATCTATTACTCGTGATGTTCTGGATTACTTGAGAAGAGAGATGATTGGAGATGCAGGTGAAATTTATTCAGCAGAAGATGCTGATAGTGCTGAGCATCATGGTGCTTCAAGAAAGAAGGAAGGAGCTTTTTATGTCTGGACAAGTCAAGAGGTCTGTTTATTTTCTCAGATTAATTGACAGTTGATTTATGATAGAAAGCCAAGTCATGTAACATGCAAATGCTATTATTCCTTGAATGGTTGTCTGGCAAGCAAGATTTCCTTCATATCATAAACTAGGGATATATTGTCTTCATTACAAAGTAAAGTAACATGAATTGAAGTGTGCACATTATGGATTACAAACACCTTTCTGAAGTTACTATTGAGCATTTTTCAATTGCTAAAGACATTTTCTGGGGCAAATTGTTAAAGATAACCTGTGCTAATATCTGAAATTTTGTGATCTTTCTCATCAACGGCCTCCTTTTCTCCAGTAGCAATATTTTGCTTTTTCCTAATTATTTCTATTGAATTTCATACAATTATTTGCCATTTATATTTGTTAGTTATATCTTATATTTCTTTGCTTCTCTATGTGCTTTTCTGACAAACAGGAGTCTTGTCGCAAGTGACTTGGGCTTGATAGTTAAAACTACAACGCTGTTTTGCGTTTTAACTGTTGCAGCTCATTTCTCCTATGATATGTTCAATTCCTTATTGTTATTGTTGTTCGACAATCCATGCACTATGTCCTTGTGCTCAAGACCTTATCATTGTTTTGTATATGGAATCTTAATATCACCTTTTAAGGTAATCATTGTTTCCATAAAGATTGCTTGCACTGTAAATCTGTTTGTGTCTTTTGCTTTTGATTGGGTAGGTTGTATCTCTATCTCCTTGTTGGTAACATGGAGATGTAGAATCCCTTGTTCATTTTTATATTTTTAAATGCCTAGTAGGTGTTATAGCTCTTCTTCTCATTTTTTCCTTCTTTCTCTCTCTCTCTCTCTCTTCCCACCATCACAACCTCCTCTCCTCCAGTGCCTCCTCCTTTTGATCTTCTGCTTCCGCTTCTTCTTCTTCCACTTCTGCTTCCTTGTCTCTTCCTCTGCCGCCTCCTACTTGCTGCGAGAATCTTCTTCTCCATCTCTGCTCTCTCTCTCTGGTCATCCAGCCAACTCACACCAACAATATATTGTACAGCACCTGAATGGTCCAGCCACTGACTGGTGTTAGTCGCAGACTAAGAATAACATACTAGAATACACAGTAACATCACCTTTATGACAATGTATACAGCCCCATAGTTTGGTGAGATCATTCATTGCAAAATTGTACCATGCATAGAACCTGTCACCTTTGCGGCATGCTGTCCTGTTCAATATTCCTAGTTCAGACTTCCAGGTGCATGCACCTGTATTGGTTCTAGACAGAATTTAACATACTCTAACACTGTAATATCACCTGTATGACAATGTGTATAGCCCCTTAGTTTGATGAGATCATTCATTGCAAACTGGTACTGTGAGGAAAACTGTTGCCATTGAAGCTTACTGTCGTGTTTAACATTCCTAATTCAGATTCCCCGGTGCATGCACAGAAAAAGAATTGGAAATGTATGAGGATGTCTAACAAATATAAGGTAATATGATGCAAAATATTCATTTTTAATTCTGGCCCATCTCTTCAGGTGATCTAGCATTGCCTCGTGGAGTCTGCTACCGTCTAATACCTGCACTTGTTTGAATGAATAAAATGTTAACAGAATTTGTAACTAGTAGAAGGTTAGATCCCATTGACTGGTTCAAAAATTTATTTTAATGTTAATGGATTATATTGGTGTTCTTTTTTTTCATACAGGACATTGTTTAACTTGTCTTTTTTTTTTTGCTTTAATTGTCGTTATGTCACTAATATTCTCAATTTCTGCTAAAGGTTGAAGAGCTGCTTGGAGAATATGCAAATTTGTTCAAGGACCATTATTATATAAAACCATCAGGAAATTGTGACCTTTCTAGAATGAGTGATCCTCATAATGAATTTAAGGGCAAAAATGTGCTTATAGAGAGAGAAGATATTCCCTCCATGGCATCAAAGTGGGGAAAGTCTGTGGATGAGTACTGTCATATTATGGCAGAATGTTGTAAAAAACTATTTGATGTGAGATCAAAACGGCCAAGACCACATTTGGATGATAAGGTCTCAGATTTTTATTTTCTCATGCTCGAATCCTTTGTCATTTGTGAAATTATGACTATGAACTTGTAGTCTCTAGCAAAGCTTCTGAATAAACGTGGTGCATTTTTCAGGTAATTGTTTCATGGAATGGGCTTGCAGTGTCTTCGTTTGCAAGAGCTTCTAGAATACTCAGAACAGAACCAAAAGGAACCAAATATTATTTTCCAGTGGTTGGATGTGATGTAAGCTCACCTCTTTCCAGTCACTTCTCAGCATGATATTAGTGTTCTTTCATGTCTTTTGACATCTTCTAGGTTACCTTGGGTTTTGTCATATAAATGTTCTGTAATTTTCATATATCAAAATGCATGCGATCATAAAACTACTTGTGCAGTTGCTCAGAATACAATCGAATTGAAAACTAATTTTTTGGTGCATATAAATTAAGTTTATGAATTGTCATACTCATATATATGTTGGGAAGTAAAGAGGAGAGCATGATGCAACACAGTGAGCTAATGAGGCCGTGAGAATATTCTTTTAAGAGACACTTACTGCTTTTTTATTAGAAGTTCAGTTATTTCTATGTCAAGTTGTAAGTATTCTTTTACATATGCATGTATTCTAATGTTATTTTGCTTCAATTTGAACTCGTCATTTCTTAGCTTCTGGATAAATTTCACCAAGGAAGGCGACATATTAGTTGTAACATATCTCCAAGCAATTGTCATCTGGCATAACTTATCTAGATCTACTTAGATGTTCATGCTGACCAATTGGTATTATTGACTGTTAGAGCTTTCAGTCTAGACATACCATTTTTAACCAACAACCAAAGTGTGAATGTGTACTGGACAATAGTTAAATGCAACTGATGCTTAGGCATAAATAACATGCTTCTGCCAGGTTCATGTAAGCGGAGCCAGTATATTAAGGAATGTGTGGCCATTGTCTGCTCCCATCTAGCTTTGATTTAATTGTTTGATTTAAGCAGAGTGAAGGTTCACTAATATAATACATTTTACAAGATGAACCATTGTTGTTGAGAGAACTCTTTGGTATATCTTGACAATCAAGAATCATCAACTTTGTTGAACTCTAAGATGTTAAAAGCATGTCTAGTTATGTATATTCTTAAGAGTAGTGAAAGAGTAAATCTGAATACCTTTCTGTTTAATGATACGTTGGCCTGACATTATGAAGTTCCTGTGTCTTAAATCTTTCATCTTGATGTTTTATGTCACAAAAAGATGTTGAAAAATGCCAATTCTAGCCAGTTCAATTGAATGTTTTATGATTTAAATACCTGAATAATGCACACCTCATTAGCATTTCTGGAATTTAGTTGATACCTGAACATTCTTGGCATGCTACATGTGTTATCAACATTCAAGAATATTCAAACTTGTTCAACAAGTAATAACCTATGATACTAATTGTTGTTAAGTTGCTTCTCTTTGCAGCCAAATGAGTACCTCGAAGTTGCAGAAAAAGCTGCTTCTTTCATTAGGAGAAACCTATATGATTTGAGCACACAAAGGCTACAACATAGCTTCCGAAATGGTCCATCAAAAGCACCTGGTTTTCTTGATGATTATGCCTTCCTGATCAATGGTTTGCTAGATCTTTATGAGTTTGGTGGTAAGATTGACTGGTTATCATGGGCAATTGAATTACAAGCTACACAGGCAAGTAAATTGTCTTTGGCTTGATATTGTCTATGGCTGCATTATTGATGTAAATTAACACAAGGCACCTTTGACAGGATAAGCTCTTTCTGGACAGAGAAGGGGGAGGCTATTATAATACTCCAGGGGAAGACCCTTCTGTCTTATTGCGCATAAAAGAAGATCATGATGGAGCAGAACCATCTGGGAATTCAGTTGCAGCAATCAATCTGATAAGGTTGTCATCTATCATTTCTGGTGCAAGCTCTGAAGATTATAGACGGACAGCTGAGCATCTTCTGGTAAATTTTTTTTTGTATTAATCGGTTGACGTTATCATTGCTTTGTTCATTTCGAGGAAATAGTCTTTCTGCTGATCACATAGCTCTAGTATGAGCTTCTGTAAGTCTTGGAAAAAAGTGGTTCAAAATAGGCATCAGTCATTTACTAATTTTAGAACTTGATTCAGAAAGTTGTGGTCCTGGCCAAGCTGTGAAAGGGCTGTCACTGTCAGCAATGATGGTGAGAGGACATTAAATTTAATTGTTCTATCCTTGTAGGGAGGGCAAGCCTTGGTACAATGATAAGGTTGCTCTTATGAGACCTGAGAGACCAGGGTTTGAGTCATGGAAATAACCTACTTAAATATTTAAAGATAAGATTGTGTTCATTGACCCACCCTAGACCCTGCCTTGGCAGGAGCCTCGTGCACTGGATACGCCCGTCTATCCTTATAGGGTTAAGTTTAACGAAGTAAAATTGTATGAGCAATTATGTAAAATTTAGTTATAGTGATTGTTGTTGGTCAAAATTGTGCAGCGTTAGTTTGCTAGTTCCAGTATACAGATTGGATATATGCTATAAACAATAAAATTTTAGTGATTGTGTGGAGTATACAAATTAGGGTGCTACAGTGGTCATCATGTTCCCCACAATACTTTTTGTACAGGCTGTTTTTGAGATGAGGTTAAAAGATCAAGGCATCGCTGTCCCACTAATGTGCTGTGCAGCTGACATGCTTGCCGTCCAATCGAGGAAGCAGGTGGTCTTAGTTGGTGATAAAGCATCTGCAGAGTTTGATGACATGGTGGCAGCTGTTTTTGCATCATATGATCCCAATAGAACAGTAAATTCTTCTCTTTTCTTTTTCAGCTTTGTTTTTTATTAGTCTTTAAGCTTAAACTATCATGTTTTTGTGGTTGTTCTTAAAGAAAATGGAGTTACCATGGTAAGAGCTTGGATAGCCCACTCGGAAAATACAGCTTCCTGAATTTATACATGGAACCTGTTCCAAATTAAGAATAAAAAAATTATTTCAATTACCGATTGATTAGTTATTACTAGTTCAAAGTGGGACTTCAAGACATTTGATGCAAGTGAACTTGTGTAGGAGTTTAATCCGGGTCATGGGTCAAGTCATACTGGATTTTAGTCATATTTATCACTGTTCTAGAATTTTCTGAAGGACTTTTCCTTGAAACTGTAGCAATGTTTCTCCTCTATCTATTAATTGCAGCATTTTGTATTGTTGGTTTCTCAGCAAAATAGCCTCTGTATCACTTAGTTTCGTCCACACAAGTGCCACTTCACCATGCATATAATTCTCGTTATCTCAAGTCATGATTTATCGAGGATTGAAAATTTTGATGAGATCTATGAACGATAAGGATCGAAGTTGGGTAGACCAAAATTTTGGATTATACAGTAGCAATGATTTCTCAGTTTACGAGATGATATATTGTGATGTCAAGTAACTCGCTGATGCTGAAACAACCCTAAGAGGGTGAGTTAGCGATGTCAGCTTTAGCGTAATATAGTATAGTGCATGATGGTGCTTACATTCCTCAAAAATTGCAGGTGATTCAAATAGACCGCAGCAGCAAAGAGGAGATGGAGTTTTGGGAAAACTGTAACCCCGACATCGCACGAATGGCGAAGGGTACTGTGGAAGACAAGCAGGCCGTCGCTCATGTGTGCCAGGACTTCGTGTGCAGCCCTCCGGTCACCGACCCAGATGCACTGAGAGCCTTGCTTGACAAAGCGTGAGGTCTGCCTCATCCTGTACAAGCCATAGGTAGTCTGCCATGTTCATGAAGATCGTGCTGCTGTGGTGGCTGTTAAAGCTTGCAGAAACAAGTGCGATGATGGCAGTTGTAGATGAACTTGCCATGTGAAGAGATGATGCAAAGCGAAAGAGAAACTGTGTTTAATTTGGTCTCCCGTAGAAATGGCTTGAGTTAGAATCCCGTTGCATGATTGATAGATTGTGATAGGGAATCTATTGTCAGTAGACATGTTATTGCAATGTGAGATCCAAGTCATTCTTAATCCATCTGTTTGTATGAACGAAGATTAAAGTAGGAAAAAATTTGTTCTCATAAAGGCAATCACAAGTTTCCTTCTCATTTACGATAACAATGAAAGTCTTTTTGCCTCTAGCTCTTTTGTTCTCATCTTCATCGATTTCTCATACAACATGAAGAAGCACCAGAAGCTATCGCTCTTACGCAAGAATGACTTTGCCACCGGCCTCGGACCATCGAAGGTGATCTCCGAGACGATGTTGAATTCCATCTCTAGCGAAGTGAGGGAAGGGGAGATCTTTATGGTGTTGGGTATGAATGATCCTGGCAAGTTCACTCGGATCGATGACCTCGTGAATCACATCGTGGCGGAGAGCCTATAGGGTCCCATCACACTCAACAATAAGAAGCTCGAGAGGTAGCTTCTCAAGGTGATCTCCGCTTATGTCATGCAGGACGATCGCTTGTACCCCATGTTCATCGTGGAAGAGACCTTGATGTTTTCTGTGAAGTTTCGACTGCTGCAATCGATGTCCGCCTCGAAGAAGAAGAGCTAGGTACAAGCACTCATCGACCAACTCGACCTCTAGTCCATTGCCAAGACCATCATCGGTGATGAGATCTAATGCAATGTCTCCGACGAAGAGCGTCACCATGTGTCGCTCGGAATCAACATCATCCACGGCCGAGAGTTAGGAAACCCAACCCGTATAAAGAGAAATTCTAATTAAAGGATAGCTTTGGTTAGGAAACACTTAACGTTTTAATCATGATAGCTTTGGTTAGAATGTCCCAAGATTTACTATGCTTGAGTTAAGAAACCCAACCCGTATAAAGAGAAATTCGTCACGCTGAGAGGGCCCAAAATCTGCCATGGCAAGAGGACCTGAAATCTTTCAAGCGAAGGGAGAAATTGAAACCCGCCACGACAAGAGGATCCTAAATCTACTACGAAGGAGGAAGGATATAAAGCCTACCACAGTGGGAGGACTCGAAATATGCTACAATAGAGGGAGAAATTGAAGCTCGCCTTAGTGGGAGGACTCGAAATCCGCTATGATGGAGGGAGGACTTGAAGCTTACCATGACAAAAGTCATGACCTACTAAAGAGAAATCCACTATAGCAGAGGCTCAAGGCCAAATGCACTCGAGATGTGTGTTGCTAAAACTTGACTCTTGTGAAGATAAATCCACTAAGGCAGAGGCGCAAAGCCAAATATGCACTCAAGACGTATAACTTAGGAAAACCCGACCCATTTGAAGAGAAATCCACTATGGCGAAGGCATAAGCCCAAATGTGTGTCTAAGATGCATAAGTCGAAAAAACCCAACCCATATTAAGATACATCCACAATGACGGAGATGCAAGGCCAAATGTGTCGGACACGCGTAAGTCGGAAAAACCTAACTTGCACTAAAATAAATCTGCTACAGTGGAGGCGCAAGGCCAAATGTGCCCGAGATGCATAAATCAGGAAAACTTGACCCGTACGAAGATGAATACATTATGATGAAGGCACGATGCCAAATGCGCCCAAGATCCGTGAGTCAGGAAAACTGAAACCACGTGAAGAAAAATCCACTATGGCGGAAGTTTGAGGCCAAATGCGTCTGAGATGTGTGAATAAAAAAAATCTGACCTATGTGAAGATAAATCTACTATGGCGGAGGCATAAGGCCAAATGAGCTTGAGACATGTAAGTCGGGAAAACCTGACCTGCGCCAAGATAAATCCTGCTCCGATGGAGGCATAAGATCAAATGCACCCAAGATACGTGAGTCAAAAAAACCCAACCTGCGTGAAGAGAAATTCACTATAGTAGAGGTGCAACGCCAAATGCGCCTGTGATGCGTAAGTCGAGAAAATCTGATCCTGTGAAGAAAAATCCACTACGGTGGAGGTGCAAGGCCAAATGTGTTTGAAACACGTATGTCAGAAAAACCTGACCCGCACCAAGATAAATCCGCTATGATGAAGACGTAAAGCCAAATGCGCTTAAGATGCATAAGTCAGAAAAATCAACCCATGCCAAGATAAATTCGTTTTGGCGAAGGTGCAAGGCCAAATACACCTGAGACCCGTGAGTTGGGAAAACCTAACTCGCATGAGGAGATATGTTATGACGGAGGTACAAGGCTAAATGCGTCCGAGACCCTTGAGTCGATAAAACCTGACCCACATGAGATCCACTATAGTGGAGACCTTAATATGCCCGAGACGTGTAAATCGAGAAACCCGACCTATGCCAAAAGAAATCTATCACGACGAAGATGCAATGCAATATGTGCTCGAGGCGTGCAAGTCGATGAATCCGACTCGCGCTAAGCGAAATTTGCTATGACAACAACATAAGCCCAACACAACCGAAACACTTGAATCAAGAAAACTCGGCCCACAAGACAAGATCTGAACACTCCCACATCGAACGAACTAAATGACGCACTTCATACCCCTCCCGAAGCAAGCTTTCAAGAGGTATAAATGATAGAGAATCTATTGTCGGCTGACACGTGATTATCACATGAGATCCAAGTCACTTAATATCAATCTTTTACGTGGACGAAGATTTAAAATAAGAAAACATAAAATTTCTTCTTATCCATTATGACAAGGAAAGCATTCAGAAACTTCCTTCGCATCCTCTAAGGTGTAAAAAGATAATCTCAATCTCGATCTGCAAATAACACCTTTTCATCTCAAAGATATTTATCCAAATCCTACTTATGAAAAGACACGAGTAATTATCATATATGTGCGAAGTATCATAGTGAGGATTTTAATTCACGATAGGAGTTTAAATACACAGTTGTTATATTATTTGGCAGAGTGTGTAACAAAATAATTTTAATTTAAGCGCATAAATTAACGGACAATTCATGATCGAATAGAACTTCTCATAAATTCATGATCGAATAGATCTTCTTTCCTCCTCTAATTGCTAAACTATCTTAAGTAATATCTACGTTGACTTTAATTCCATCTTTAACTACTTAAAAAGTGCAGGACTTTAGTTCCACTCGTACTTCATGCTTTAATCATGGTTTATTTTCTGTATATATATATATATATATGTATATATATATATATATGTATGTATATATATATATATATGTATATATATATATATGTATATGTATATGTATATATATATATATATGTATATGTATATGTATATATATATATATGTATATGTATATGTATATATATATATATATACATATATATATATATATACATATACATATATACATATATATATATATATACATACATAGATATATATATATACATATATATATATATACATAGATATATACATATATATACATACATATATACATATATATACATAGATATACATATATATACATACATATATACATATATATACATACATATATATAAAGCCACAAGGCTTCAAAGTCATAAAACCCTCTCAACAATGAACTAACAACACCAATCCAAATGACTCGGTCTACCACAACCCAGTAAGAAAAGCCCCGACAGAGACGTAGCTATGTAAGTATCTGGAGGCTTTGAAGAGTATACATACCCAGCTCGATCAACCCATGCAAAGTTGTCTCAGATAGAAACCTTCCTTTTTGTCTGTCCTTGAGCATTTTTAGTGGTGGTGCCTTTATGGCATAAGAGCTGATAAGCTGCATACATGCTGCTTACGATGACAACCAAGATGATATTGCCAGCAAAAGAATCATCGTCCCGAAACCATATCGCAAGAGTATATCAGCAACGGTATCATCCAACCTCCCTTGTAAAGTCTTCAACCATGCATGGTAAGGACAATGCACCTCCTGAGGAATCCAATTTGTTAAGGAGTATCCAATCTTCAAACTTAGAAGGTTATCGCAAGGAACACACCTTTGCTTCCTCATTGCCAAGGTTCTCCTGGTTAGGTTCATTTTCAAGCATTATTCTGTGATGCTCACCATCTTCGATAAACAGTGATCCTTCCATTTCAGATGGCATGGACACGCCTGTATATGCTGCATCGGTGTGAACTGTTTTCATGACCGACCCAAAAAAGCTTGTCACAGGTACCTTGTCATGTCCATAGCAAAAATTAGGTGAAGCACACACAAAACACCAAGCTGTCTCGTCCCATCCAACCAATTAAACATTCAAAGTGCTTTAACATCAAAAGAGAAAATAAAAGCACCCACTTGTTCAAGGTGGCTAATTCAAAAAATACCTCACTCGATGGTCGCTGATATAGATCCATTCTGTAGTATGCCGTAGACATCAACAGACTAGGGTTATATGAATTGAAAAGGCTGCAAATACAAAAACAGGTACTAATAAATAAAGTATGCATGAGAAGATGCTCTTGATTGCTATTATGTCAAAATATATTCATTTGGACATATTCAATATAATTGACAAGGAAACAAAGTCATTCACAAATTCAACAAAAAAAGAGACAATAATGGGAAAAAAAACCATAATGTCCAGTGTAGGTCAACAATGATCCATCTGATGTGTCAAAGAAAAATAATGTCTTAACATGGAACAAAGGAGTTAACTAGTTTTTCTGATACTTTCACTAGCACTACCTTTTTGACATTTGGTAACCCATCTATGTCCATATTTATTAGACATGCCCTGCATGTGAAGCATGAATCTTGTCCTGCTTGTCACCAAATCCTCGAAGTGACAGGCACTTCAAACCAGTATTTAGGTTTTCAAGTGTATGCAACATCAGCATTCTTCTTTACCTAATTCTTTATTTTTCTTTCCTGCTCTATTACCAACACTAGATAAATTTTCCTTTTATAGCTCAATTTCAGTTCAAGACATCTTTTTCCCATATTAAATTTTTGGCATCTATGTTATATCTGCCTTGCATTTTTTTCATGCAAGAAAATAAGCATTCTACAAAAAAAATTCTTTTTAATAATTGGACGATTGATGTTCCTC